CATATTATTTTTCACTTTTGTGGGAAATTGATAGAAAAAGGGAAATAAAACTTCCTTTCAATGTATCACTTCCCATGCTGAGGTCTTATTGCATATGTTGATGAACATCTAGTTTTAGTCACCAATAAAATCCCATCACCTATATAAGAAATTAACACCTGATTGGAGGAGATTTGGGTAAACAACCCATTTTTGGAGCTCTCACCTCAAAGTTCCCTTTGTCTAGTCCACCCTCATCAGCTCTCCTCGTCTCCAGTGTCTCCCATCTCTCCACTGAGTCAACCGATCAGTGAAGATTCCCAATCTTTGTCCCAGCAATAGAATTTAGTCTATGCCCGAAGTCATCCATCTGTCTACAAGAGGTATTGTGCACTTACTGTAAACTCTCTCTCATGGTCTATTAGTGGCATACCTAGCTAGTTTATCGACATAGATATAGTTTAACCTCTCTTGTATTTAATCCCTACTTTATTTTATTTATTAAACTTTTGTTATTTGTTAACTTGCTTTCAATTTGGATTTATTTTGATGTCATTCACCATATTGATGGATTCACAGACTCTTTTCACTTGAGCTACAAACCTTCCTATTCAAACATATTTTTAAGAATAGAAATTGATAATTGCAAGTTAAGACATGACTTCGAACTATCCTAACTGGTGTCAGGATCTGACATCTAACAGAGTTTACAATCCCAAGACAAATAAAATATATAGCCATTCACTAACAAAGCAAATGGGCCTAACCATCCCAACTTCGCAAGAAGGTGTTAAGGGTCGATAAACTCTGCATCGTGGATTCTCACAAATGTTTAGAATCGTGAAAAACATTAAACAAAAGTATGGAATATTTTGATGATTATTTCATACAATATTTTTATTATACNATTTTATGAATTTTTTTTCTAATATTAAAATAAGTTTTATTTGGGGTGTCGATACTAAAATTAAATTACTGTAACATCATGCAGCTAACCTGTGTGTTGTCAGTTTGAAAGCAGTTGAAAGTTACCTGCATGAAATTATAGTAATCTGAATACCTTAATTAATCTAGTAGTTAATTTTTAGGTGTATAAATTAAGGTATTTCATTTTCAAAATAATATAACATAGAACACTTTGTATGCTTCTAACTGAAAACTATATTAACATCAAAATAGAATAAACATGCTTAAGAAATATTTTACCTTGTGAAAGATACAGATGACTAAAGTTTATTTTTATTATTTGATTTTTACATACATTTCAAAATTTTCAAAGTTGATAAGAAAAGAGCGATTAAATTTTCTTTTCTAGGCAACACAAACATGCTTCTAACCTTTTTATTTAAACTAATGTAAGGAGTTTATTTAGTTTAGTCAGTTTAAATTCCCTCATTCTCTACTGTTTTAAGTAAAATTTAATCAAATTGTCAAGAATTATCACTACCTTACTTAATTAAAGGTAATTAGAGTGCCGAAGTATTTAATGTTTTTCTAAAGGTTATAAATTTTTAATATTTTGTTTGTAATCCTCTTATTTCCAAATTAATAACTAACTAATTTAAAATAAGATTCTTAAGCTGCAATTTCTATCTTAGAATTTAAATATGTAAGTGCAAAACTTAGATTGTTAAATAGCTTTAATACATGTTTAATAAAATAAAATGATGTATAACATGGTTTTCTTTTAAATGGAACTTATTCATCAGTGCCTTACATAAAAGTTTAATATTTCAGGTACTGTAATACTACAAATTGTATAACTTAAGATGTTATTAAATTAGTAGAAATGATGATTCATTTCAGCAGTAATTTGTAATTATATTAAAGTATGTAAAATGTATAATTTTGTTAATTTTTAAATCCTTTTTTTATTATTTTAAAAATGATAACTAATTATTAATCTATTAATAATTTTAATATCATAGTGACTAGCCGAATTTGAAAAATGGCAAGTAATTTAACCCGCAATCTTTCTGAAGGTATTTTTAATTGCTTTATCACTATTTGGACAAATATAAATTAGTTTAGAATTTCATCAACTGGTATTTCAGAATTTATCAAATTTATTTGGTGTAAATTTTCATTAAAATGTTAAAATAAATAATACTCTCAAAATATAAATTTTATTGTGTCATTACAGTGAAGTTAGTTGTAATAATGGCACCCACTAGTGAATTAAGTGAAGAGAGAAAACAATAATTTCCAAGCATTAAGAAGAAAAATCACAAAGGATAACAGCAAAAATATTAGAACTCTCTCAAAGAATAGTTTCAAAAATAATTTCGAAGTTTAAAATGTTTGGAAAAATCAGAAACGTGTTGTGAAAGACTAAAATCTACAACCAAAAGAGGTGATTGTAACTTAATTAAAATTGTTAAGAAAAACTAGATTTCCATCATCAAGCAGCATTAATTCAGAATGGAGAGAGACAGTATCAGACATTATGGTAATCAGCAGGCTAGCAGAGAAAGGTTATCACTGGAGAAAAGCTAAAACAAAGCCTCATATGGCAAAAAAAGAAAGAAAGAATGAATTGCTTGAGATAGGCCAAATGTCATAAAGATTGGACTGTATTCTGACATATTGCCATTATTACCTAAGATGATGATGGCAATACATCAGAATACAGATCAGATGAAAAATTTCATTCTGACTGTCTAAATTCATCAACAAATTTTCATAAAAGTGTATGATGTAAGGATGTATAACCTGTAAAGCGGTGGTGAGACAACAATCCTTAATGGTATATTGAATGCTGATAGTTATTTGGAGTTATTAGAATCTTTGGTCATTAAAACACTGAAGATTATTTTGGCAACGAGAATTTTGTCAACCAGGGTGAAATCTTTGTTGATGAAATCCATGGTCAAATTAATCAATGGTTACAAGAAAATAACTTGCAGAATTTAGAATGGCATGCCAACCATCCAGCTATATCTCCCATTGAAAATGTTTTGAATATTCTGAAGGAAATGGTGTCTAAAAAAAGACTACAACTATAGAAGAATTAAAGAGAAACATAAAAAAAATTATGGTCAGAGATTGATCAAGAAGTGTGTAAAAATTTACTTCTTCAAGGATACAAAGAATTGTGGCTGTAATTAGGGCAACAGGTGGCCCTACCAAATATTAATCATCAGTATTCCATACTTTTGTTTAATGTTTTTCATGATTCTATTCTTTTGTTTAACTCTTACTTTGCTTAAAATGTTTCAGCTTTGTCATTTAAACAAATGTCTTTGCAAAATTTGTTGTGTAAATACTTTTATATATACGAGGGCTGTTCGGAAAGTTCGCGGCCTCAAATAGAACAACAAACAAAATAATGTTAAAACTTTTTTTATTTTTCAATGTAGTCTCCTTTGTTAGCAATGCACTTATTCCAGCGATGTTCTAGCTTTCTTATGCCATCACAATAGATCGATTTGTCAAGGTGTGCAAAATACTCGTTCACTTCAGATATGACTTCGTCATTTGAGTGGAATCTCTTTCCAGCCAAGAATTTTTTTATGCTTGGAAAAAGGTGGAAGTCACTGGGGGCCAAATTAGGTGAGTGTGGTGGATGTGGAACTAATTGGAAGCGAAGTTCGTTCATCTTTTGCTCAGGAATGTGCAGGTGCATTATCGTGGTGGAACAGAACCTTTTTCTTCTTCAAGTGTGGCCTCTTTTCTTCGATTTCCTTCTTCAGTTTTTCCAAAAGTTTACAGTAATAGACAGCATTAATGGTCTTTCCTCTTTCTAGGTAGTCAATAAAGATGATGCCTTTAGCATCCCAAAAAACTGAGGCCATCACTTTCCCCACTGATGGAACTGTCTTTGCCTTTTTTGGTGGTGGCGAACTGTGGTGTTTCCATTGCTTTGACTGTTCTTTTGTTTCAAAAGTGTAGTAATGGATCCACATTTCGTCAGTAGTCACAAACCGACGCAAGAAATCCTGTGGGTTTTTCTGGTAGAAGTCGAAACACTCCTTTGACATCAAAGTACGAACACGTTTCTGCTCAGCGGTCAGAAGACGCGGCACCCACCTTGCTGAGACCTTCGTCATATTCAAATTTTCGGTTAGGATGGGGTGCACTCGGTCGACAGAGATGCCTGTTGTCTCAGCTATCTCACGCATTTTCAAACGGCGATCTGCTAGTACCAAATCATGAACTTTCTCGGTATTTTCTTCAGTGACAGCAGTTGACGGCCGTCCGCTGAGAGGGTCATCTTCCTCACTCTCTCTGCCAGATTTAAAAAGGGCTGTCCATTTTTTCACAGTGGTGTACGAAGGAGAAGACTCTCCCAAAACTTCATCCATGCCAGCTTTGATTTGAGATGGGGTCAACTCTTTTTTCGTTGGGTATTTTATGACCGGACGAGTCTCTGTCTTCTCCATTTTTGACAAAGCATGTGCACACTGACTATCTGCTAAGCTGTCGTGGCAAAACTTTATGACAAACTAAGCGGAAATTGGTATCGTATCTCTAGCAAAGATGGCTGAATTATTCCCGCCAAAAATTAAATTGATCGCAGTGCCGCATCTAGGCAAGGCCACAAATTTTCCGAACAGCCCACGTATTTGCCAGTTGTTAGAAGTTCGATAATATTTTTGTGAGGTTGATTATTTCAGGATAAAAATAATTTTTCCACAAAAATTACAAAATATTCCATACGTTTGTACAGGGACTATATTTCATATTTAAAACATTAGAAAAGTTGTTTGTGCTTCATGAGAAAGCCAGCACTTTACTTTTTTAAATTGTTACATAATTAAATTAAGTTAATACTGACTTTTGCATAGAGACTTTTGCAATAGTGGTAATACTGACTTTTGCAAGAGTGGTGTAATAAATGTATTATTTTTTATGATTTACATTTTAAATTAATATTTTATTAATTATAACTTATTATATAGAGACATTATCAATTGCTCATATAATTTATTGATTTTGAACCATTTTAATATTATTAAAACTGTTTTTAAAAATGATTTAAATATCATAATTATTATAATTAAGTTAATTTATTATTTTAGAAGGGAATATAAAATTGAATCTATTTTAGAAAGAATTGAAGCAAAATATAAAGAGAATAAAATAGAAAGGTAAATATATACATATATATATTAAAGTTATTAATTGTATATAATTTGATTGATATAATAATTTCAGATTTTCACATTTGTTTAAATTGAAAAATTACAAGGTTTGACAATTAAATTCAGGACTGTTTGAATTGTTTAAAAACTGTGTATTTGAATAAATTGTATTTTTAGTGTTCCTATGAACAACAATAAAAAGTTAAAAAATAAAACCTTGAAATGTTACGTATTTTTACACTCATACATTGAAATGTTGGAAATATTTCTTGAATTCATTTAAATTTTTCACCACCAATTTCTTTGTTCATTGCATTTAATATTTTCTATACAGGGTGTTTATAAATGAATGGTGCGATTTTAAACCTTAACAATAAATTTGTTTATTACCATATATGGGTAAACCTTACAGCATAAGCAGCAGCAGCAACTGTCCAAGTTTTTTATGCATTAATCACAATCCTTCAATATGTGCACCCATGGACACACATCTACACAGTAATCAAATTCTTTCCATACACAGTAGCATGTCCTCTGTGATGGTCTGCAATGCATGCTTTATCCAATCACACAGTTCCTCAGGAGACATGGGCATTGACAGTACATAAACTCAATCTTTAACAAACCCCCACAAAAAGAAATTGCAGGGTGTTAAATCTGGTGAATGGGGTGGCCAGGGGAGCAGGTTGTTGTCTGCTGTTGCACCACGCCAAATCCAGCATTGGTGAAGAACATGATTAAGAAGCAAAGTGAAGAGCGGGTAGCGCATAAAAAACTTGGGCAGTTGCCACTGGTTGTGCTGTAAGGTTTGTCCATATAAGGTAATAAATAGATTTATTATTAATTTTTAAAACTCCACCATTCATTTATAAACACCCTGTATTCTTAATTGTCATTTTTTTTTTGCAAATTAATATTCAGCTTTGGGAAAACAAAAAAGAAAATTTGTATGCCTTAAATCAAGAAAATAAGCAGAAATATTTATAATAATAAGCGATGCTTTTAGCCCACAATTTTAATTTAGATAGAGTTAGATATCCTAATAAATGGGATTTAACAATTTGGAGGGCTTATCACTCCAAGGCTGACATAAAAAAAAAAAAAAAAAAAAACAGATCTTTTACAAAAATGTTAGTCTTTAATAATCATCTACAAATTTAGGTAAGGATGCATTTTGGGTACAAGGACCCCTCATCAGCTGTGTTTGTAAGCTGATGAGTGGTCCTAAGCTGATAATAATGGGATTTTTTCAGAACATAACTACCATGTTATATGATGGATACCTGTACATATTACTAGTTTGCATATTATTAGCATCCAGTATTTTTGTACCTATTTTACTAGTGTTTATGATACATGTTGGTATTTGGCAGGCTTAAAGTCTGTAATTCTGTAAGAAAAAAAATGCATGTGGCTTGCCAGAAAACGGCCTGCATCCAAAAAAGATTGCTTGTCATTGCTATAGAACAATGTCTTGTATTGCTGTGCAGTAGGAATTATTTTTCCCCCTTTTTTTGTTTGAAACTATAATCATATATAGCAAATTATTGTAATGAGCCAAAATTTGCATGTAATATTTCTTATTTGTATTACATACTATAGCTTCATTCAAAATTTTATTTTCATACTTTATACTAATTAATAAATTATTTTAGACATTTTATGTATAATAGAAAGCTTTATAGCTTTGCTAGATATCTCATATATCAAATATACTTAATAAAAACTTATGATCTGCTATTCAGTTTTTTAAAAACCTTTGGTTTTGCAATATTAATTTCAGTTAATTTAATAAGAAATTAAGTAATTCTTGTTGTTAATTTATGGATTTTTGTAATTAATTTGTTTCTTTAATTATTAATTAAATTTGTCCTTAAAATTAAATAAACTGTTAAATAGTCTGAAAATTTTTATACTTCAAAATTAAAAATCTGTACATAAATTAAAATTTTTAAAGTTATTTTTCAATTTTTTTCCAGTCCTTCTGGTCATATGACACTTATTTTTACCGGTTTTTATGATAAATCTAATAAAGGTAAGCTTATTTTATACTTCTATAAAATAATTAATCAAATATATATAGACAGAGATGCCT